ACCAGAGAGCCTTTATCAGTGGATCTGGGGATCTTCTCCTCTACTACTGAGCCATGAGCCCGCCAAGGAGAAACTATAGTTGGAGCGTTGTCATTTTGGTCCACAATAATGATGTGAACAGTCACGTTACTGCTGAGAGGAGGAGAACCAGAGTCTCTGGCCTCGATGTGGAAAAGAAACTCTTTTTCAATTTCGTAATCAAAAGTTTTCAGAGCATAAAGATTCCCATTCTCTGGATTGATGGAGAACAGCATGGACATGGAGGTGTTGGCGATCTCCTTCTCTATGATAAAATAAACTAGATACTGGTTTTCATGAAGATCAGGATCAAATGCAGTTAGCGAGCTGAGCAAGGCCCCAGGTGCATTATTCTCCATGACACGTATAGTATAAAATGACTGGGGAAACTGTGGAACATTGTCATTAACATCCAGCAGCTCCAAAGTCATTGTTTCATTGTCAAATAAAGGAGGAGAGCCTCTGTCTTTGACAGTGAAAGTGATGTCATATTCTGGGACCTTCTCTCGGTCTAATGGCTCTGATAACACTAACTCATAATAGTTATCAGAGGACTTCCTCAGTTTGAAAGGCATATTCTCTGGAATATGAAGATCAACCACTCCATTATCATCAGAGTCTTTATCACTGACACTAACAACAGCTATCACTGTGTCTGTGTCCACATTTTCTTTAACTGGACTCTGAAATGATTTAATAGAAATTTCAGGGTGGTTGTCATTCATATCAGTCACCTTGATGGTCACTCTGCTCTGTCCAGATAAGGAGTTAGGCCCCTTGTCACTGGCTATGACCTCCATCTCATAAAGTTGATCATCTTCATAATTTATCATTTCTTTTACTCTGATTTCACCATTTTCTGGATTCAGGTTAAACATCATCTGTGTTCTTTCTGATGTGTATAAGCTGTATGAATAAACAATATCAGAATTGGAGCCTTCATCTAAATCTGTAGCATTCAGCTTGATTACCAAGCTGCCAATGGGAGAATTCTCCATCACATCTACAACGTACTTGTCTTTGTCAAATGAAGGGGCGTTGTCGTTCACATCTAGCACGCGAACAATGATGCTGGCTGTACCCGTGCGGGTGGGAACTCCACCGTCCACAGCAGTCAGAATCAGATTATGAACAGCCTGCTGTTCTCTGTCCAGAGCTTTTTTCAGAACCAAGTCTGCAAATTTCGTCCCGTCCCTGCCGGTCTGAATTTCAATAGCAAAATGATCACTTGCGCTCAGGTGGTAATTCTGCACAGAATTCGTTCCGACATCCGGGTCTGCAGCGTTATTCAGGGAAAATCTCTCTCCCACAGGGCTGGACTCCGATATGTCCAAATGCATTGTTCCTCTTCTAAAATGAGGAGCGTTATCATTTATGTCCAATATTTCTACCTCAATGTTAAACATGCGCACCGGGTTCTCAATTGTCGCGTCTAATTTAAGCATACAGTGTGAAGAGGTTTTCGATGGGCACAGAAGCTCTCTGTTAATTCTTTCCAAAATAAAAAGCTCACCGGTGTCTGTGTTGATGTCGATATATTTTTTGTTTGCTACTTCAACGCGCATTCTCCTCGTCTTCAGAGTTTTCACTTCTAGTCCCAGGTCAGACGCCAAATTCGCAACGATGGATCCCTCCTCCATTTCCTCGGGTACAGAATAATGAGTGACTGACATTACGTTATTAAACGTGGCAAAAACACAGAGAGTCAGCAACACATACCCCATCCTGCAAAAAAGGCTGACAGGTTGTGCCATCCTGAACATTCCACTATTGTGAAAACCCTGTTTTTCCCCCAGGTTAAAGCAATAATGCAGCTTGAGCGGTTAAAAGGCGTTTCTCCCCCTTTAATGACGTGCTGAATGTGCCCAACATCCCCTCCTCAAATAACCTATCGCGATACCAATCACCTCATTATAAAATGCGTTTTTGTTTGTTTATTATTGTTTGAGTAATCAAAGGCTGGGATAATTCTTGCGTTGTTTATTAGAAAATTGATCTCCATCTATTTACTTGTAACTTAAAAAATGTAATAAGGTAGGTTAAACATTTATTTAACATTTTTGCTTTAATAAAATATATCATTCTTTTTAATAAACAAATATTGTAGTTAAATCTGTGTTAAGAAAGATACAAATGAGCCCTACTTACAGATGCTGTAAGTGTTAAACAGAAGTATCAACTGCAAAAGTTATGGAATGGCTCATCACTTAAACAGCTAAAAACTTCAGCATCATGTAACCTAACAGTAAAAGTGAAAAATGTTATATGTTTTTATTGAAAAATTATTAATTTAAAAACTTATCTGGACATGGATGGTGGTTTGTTTAACTTTTTTTTAGTTTGTCTGTGATACATCTGGCAATACAGCTTATTCATGTTGTCCCACACCTTATTGATGCACTATAAAGGGCATAAAATTAGATTTGCCTGATTTTGCTATCGGAGTATTGCCTCTCTGTAAATTTTATGTTTTTTTCATATAAAGTTGTGAAAATTTTGATAAATTTAGCAACTACACTTGTAAACATATTATAAATGTATAACTTTTGCAGGGATTTTCTCCACTGTTTATAAAGTTCACTTTGAGAGAAACTTTCAATGTCATCAGTCTTTTTATGTTGAAAAAGATATGCTTGACTATGTTGTCAGAATAAAAACAGCATTTTGTTTTCAGATGAAAAGCTGATGTGTTTATGATGGAAATAGTGCCAAATTAATTTCACATACTTCAACAGAAATTATGTTTAGAAATTTGTAGTAAAATCTGTGACATTTTTTTCAGGGTCTTTTTTTAACATTTGTTTCGATTTTTCCATTCCTAATGAAACACGTTGTGTTATCATTTGCACTCTAATTTGAAACAGAAAAGTCCTCACACTAATCTGGGGCTCTTAATCACTATGCTGAAACTTTCTTTCAGTGCAGTTGAAATCTTTACTTTATCATGCTTTGCCACTTATTGCCATGTAAAGCCTAGAAGGAAGTTTTCTTTAGCATCATAAAGTACAGTATTTTAACCTGTCTTCATTAACATGGTGCCTAGATGTGGGTAGTAGTTTTATTTGATAAAATAGTAAAAAGCCTGTTCCTGTGTGATGTGTTATAAGTATAATAATACTAAACAGCATCACACCACATTCACTCATTCACAAACCTACACATCAACATGTTGAATGAGTTACATTTTGGCAATGGTGGACAAAGTACTCAAAAGTAGTACTTGGGTAAAAGTACTGATACTCAGAGTCAAATTTTACTCCACTACAAGTAAAAGTTACTCAGTCAAACATTTACTCAAGTTAAATGCAAGTATTCACTTTTGGAAAAAAAAAAAAAGTATTTAAATATACAAATACAATTTTCTAATATTAGTACATTTCTATGTAATTGTAGTAGCAGTTTTATTGTCTTATATCATATCAGAATCAGAAATCAGAATCAGAATATATCCTACAACATGGCCCTATACTTACTTAGCAACAAAACAGTACATCTTGAAGTTCAAGTATGAGTCTTAGCAATAAATAAAGTCTCTAATGCTGTAGAATGTAAATATCTTGCTGGCTTGCCAAATATGGAAGCAGTTGTACTGCGTTATGTAGTCCTGTTTCTGACCTTATGCCCACTAGCTTGGGATCTGGAGCTGTACCACCTGTCTCCAGCA